GGCGGCCACTCGCCGTGCCCCTCGAGGCAGCTGCTGTCCTAGTTGACGGAGATGCTGATCTCGGGTCCTCGGCGACGCATCAGCTCCGACTGGAGGAAGAAGCCAGAGGGGGACGGGGCTGGCAGCACTGCCGACTCTTGCCCCCACCGAGCAGCTCCAGCCCAGTCCACCTCAGCGTTGGCTTGTGCCGGGCTCGGCCCCTGCACCACAACATGTGGAAGAGCCTCGTGCCTGGGACATTGCCTACCGCCTCGCCACTGCTTTCTTCCTCCGACTGCTTCCCGGGCCGTTTCCCCTCTGCCTCCCCCCTGGCCGTGGTGGGCAGGAGGCTGTCCAGCCAGCTCAGGTCATGCAGGGAGAAGATGCGCTCCAGCCCCTTCCGAATTCCCACCAGCGCCAGCAGCTGGGGCCAGGGCAAAGCACAGGTCAGCACCGCACAGTGCTTGGGGTAGCAGGCAAGGGATCCCTGTCACACCCCTTCTGTTCCCCCCCGCCAGTAAGTGCCAGGGAGGTGGCATGTCACCTCTCCTGGCATGGTCCCAGGGTACAAAACTTGCACACCTGCAAAGCAGTGACAGGCCTGGCCCCACTGGCCCCAACCCAGGAGATGAAGGCTGGTGGCAAAGCCGTGTTGCGGCCCTGCCGGGACCCTGCCAGCCCTGGGGGTCTGAGCACCCACGTACACCACCTGCCAGGGCCTGCGCCCCCACCCAGGGTAGCGCCTGTGTCCCTTGCCCAGGGTGAACGCCGGAGCTCTGGTGATGCTCAGGGCATGTGTGGGCAGCACCCAGCCCAGCACCAAAGCAGTGCTGCCCAATTACAAGGGGTGTCGTACCATCACTGGGAAAATAATAGCAGCCACGGTGGACTTGAGGACCCAGAGGAGGGCCAAGCACAGCAGCTGGATGACAGTGAAGAGGTGTACCCGGCGCAGGGGCACGTGGCGGAGGTATGCGATGTCTGGCTGGTGCTTGGCTGGCATCAGGAGCAGCCGCACGCGGTCTGTGAGCTGTAGCAAGAGGACGGCAGGTGGGTCACGCACCTCCAGCTTTCAGACAGCTCTCGCCCACCTCCCCGTTTGGACTGGAGCTGGCAGGATGGGTCTTTGCCATTGTTTTTCCAGTTCAGCCCTCCTGCCATCTGTACTGGCCGCTAGTGTGATGCCTGGGTGGGTGAGTGTCTGCAAGACCAGGGGTCCTGGTACCACCATTGCTCCAGGTAAGGGGGGTGCTTTCCAGGCAGACATCTAGAAAGGACTCAAGCTGGCCTTGAAGAGTTAAATGAGAGGTAACAACCCCTTGATTCCCCTCCCTGCAGGAAGAGAATTGCTGCTTCCTTTGCCTGAGTACAGCCCTGGATTCCCCAGGCAGAGGGAGGGGGTTTCCCAGCCTGTCATCCAGAGCAGGTTAATTGCAAGAAAAATGTACTGTTTAGAGGAAAAGAGGGTAGATATTTCTGGAGTGGACATTTTTCTCTCCCCTGTAGGTTTCTCAGGAGAGGAACAGAGCAGGCACATCAGCAGCAATGCCAGGGCCAAAGGACCAGCAGGTCCCAGCTCTGCCTATAGCTCCCAGCTGGGTATGTCCCTGTGGCATTGAGGACAAGTCTGGGTGCTACACTGGTCCCTCCACTTCTCCCAATCCACATGATCCATCACTGCAGAAGGTGCTCCTGCTCGTCACCATCCCAGGCACCTCCCTTTCCCTCTGTCCCTCCTTGTCCTGGACCTGGCGGGGGACAGACCTGTGCCAGGCTGCACATCACACAGAGCTAAAATCCAGGCTCTGCTGCACAGTGAGAGCTGGTATTGAGCAAACCCCCTTATCCCCAAACCAGACCCCTTCAGCACCCCCAGCGCAGCCCCCACTCACCTGGATGCTGTTCAGCGCCGCCACTCCCATGTGCAGAAAGACCCCGTACAGCACCGGCATCGGGATATGCTGCAAAACAGCAGGGTGAGGGGTCAGCAGGGTGCAATTTCGTGAGGGAGCTGTGCTTTCTGAGCATCCTCTCTGATATAAAAGCCTGCATATGTGGCCGCAGCATTTGCTGCTTTGATTTCCAACAGCCCGGTTTAATTTCAAGGCTTTTTGCTTATCTTCTGGCTTCGAGGACTTTAAAGCCCAGATGTGCTTCTGGCTATGCTGCTCATGCAGAGACATCACAGTCTTCAGAGAGGAGAAACGTGCACCGAGTTCCTTGCCCTGTTTTCCAGCACATGGTGGGAGCAATCCAGGCTGGAGATGGAGAACACAATGCCAAGCCACTTGGAGATATGGCTTATGGCTCATGTCCTATAAATGCCGGGGGGGG